TTGAGAGTCGCTGGGAGTTCTGGCTTCCTCATTGCTAAAACAAAAATATATAGCTCTCACCTCCTGTTGAGAAGGCAGAGAGAGAAGTTATCACAGCACCTGGCCCAGCAGCTTCACAGGCACCAAAGATGGTTAATAAACATGAATCCTGCCCTGGTGAAGAGCAGCCCAGGGGATGCAGAGCCAGGAGCCAAGTCCTGCCTTGGGGACTTAGTAACTGTGCAAACTGGGCAAGTCATTTCTCCTTTACAAAATGAAATTGTTAGGGAGAAATGATGTCCTGAGCTAATCCCATACAGGCTTTGTGGACTCCACTCCCAGTCCAGACTAAAGTCATCAAGACATTGGGAAAGGCAAATCCCATCACCACCAAAGGGAAGGTGGCTGGGACCTGAGGGTGGAGTTAAGCAGCCAGGTTGGGTATAAAAACCAAACATGTGGACCTTGGGGGGGCTCACTGTCGCTCGCCTCCTCCTGGCTTCACGGCTCCTTGCTCGCGGCCAGCTCTCAGGGTGCCATTTGGGATTCCAGATCGGCGGATCAGGTAGGACTCATTTAAAACTTTGTCTCCCACTTTTCTCCCTGAGCTGTACATTTCCTCATTTCCCCTTCCCTTGTAAATAAACCTTTTATTAACCTTTCGCGTGTGCCCGCAGTAGAGCATTGATAAGTCCTTTTAAGCGCGCGGGTGAGGACCCACAGTCAGGCACCCCGTTTTGTATCAGGGTTGCTCTACAACAGTTTGGCGCCCAGCATGGTTTCCAAGTTACACCCGCGGTTGACCAGCCCAAAGTAACATTCCTTGCATTGGTCACCATAAGCGCACTAGTTCTCTTTCGCGTGTGCCTGCAGTAGAGCATTGATAAGTCCTTTTAAGCGCGGGTGAGGACCCACAGTCAGGCACCCTGTTTTGTATCGGGGTTGCTCTACAACAAAATGACAATTGCCAGGAGGTGCGGAGCCAGCCAGGTAGTTTAGCATGTCACCTGGTGAACTAAACCACTATAGAAATGCTGATCATTATTACTTTCCAGTCTTTTCAAGATTTCGATAAAGGAAAGGATGAGCTGATCAAGAAGCCCAAAGAACTGAGAATGCAGTAATATCAGAGTACGGTAAAGGGTAAGGGGAGGACACAATAATAACAAGGATCATAAATCTCCGGGTCCTTATACACAAACACAGCCAATAGCAAATCTAGCCACAGACATATTTTATTTAGCCCCATGCAGGGTCAGGGCGGCCATATAATTTGAATTAAAGGTCATATAATTTTCATTAAAATCCAAATTTCAGGCTTTTCTTGAAAATTCCAAAGGCTAATCTCTCCTGGCCCAGTAGTGAGACAAGCTCCTTCCAGATCGCCTCAGCCCTCACCTGCCCTAAGGTGACTCATTTATAGGATGAGCCTGACCCCTCTAGGCACTGGAGTTTGTAACCGTGGCTTATCTAAAGGTAACTATCTGGGAAAGCTTTCAGACCTCCAGGGAGTACTTCACTCCTGGCAGAGACCAACACCCAGGAGACACTCCCTGACAGTGCCTCACTAGGCAATAAGCCCTCCCAGGGAGCCCTCAGAGTCCTGTTCTGGACACTTCTACCTCCTTCCTCAAGTTCCTCACCCTGGTTTATGTCTCCCTGGACTCAGGACCTTACCTTCCCCCAAATCACCACCTGCATCTACTAGATGGATTATCAGCATCAAAGGTTTGCAAGAAACATCTTTGTCTTCAGCAGGGCTACAAAAGACATGACATGACAAACAGTTTGCCTCACCAGCCTTCCTTCCCCACTCTGCTGGTGAGGGCCCCCAGCCTCCCATGGGGGACCAGCAATGCCCCACTCTCAGTTCATGTGGTTGGGTGGGGTTGACTCCATTCCCATTTCTAGAGAAAGGCATGTGATCCAGTCAGAAGCATGCAAAGTCACCCCTGGGACTGTGGACACAGCGGCTGGGAGGGAAGTCTTCTCTGAGCCTCTGCTACTTGAAGACAATGGAAGACAAGGGTATCCCTGAAGATAGCTGCCTAAAGAGCTGACCCTGGATCCAGCCCAACCTGCAGCCAGACAACTTTTGGATTCATGTGGGTTCATTTAATTCCCATTTCTACTTAAAGCAGCTTGAAATGGGTTTTTTTTTTTTTTTTTTTGGAACCAAAAGAGAATTCTGAAAGAAGTGCTTGGTGATGGAAAAAAATAAAAAGCTCCGCTCACATTTTTCCTGTTTTGGGTGTTTTTTTTTTTTTTTTTTTTTGGTTATCTCCCTTCATCCAATAAAAGTGAAGTTTGCTCTGTGCACTAGCTCTTCCTTCTCTCACGGTATATAGATATATTTTTTTAACCTGTCTATCTCCTCTGCAGATCTACTGAGCTCCTTCAGGGCAGAAACTGTGTCACATTCTGATTCTCTAGTACCTTGCACAATGGCACATACTTTGGACTCCATCAGTGTCTGCTGAATGCAGGAAGCAACAAGAGGCAGGTGGACAAAAGGACAGAGATATCCTAGTCCTCTCCTTTGGGACCCCCGTTATCCCAAGGCCCTGTGACACACAAACATCTTCTTACACAGACGCCTCCACCCACAGTAAGCAAATTGCATCATGAGAACTCGCTCCTTCCAGCAATTACTAATTCTCCCACATGTCCCTCCCATGCAACTTCTCTGTGGAGTTGCTCATGAGGTCCTTAGTCTGGAAGAGAAGACTTCACTGCAAGATACTTTCCACAACTCTATAAATGGAAAAACTAGGAGACCATGCCATTCACACACCTTCACTCAGAAGTGGAGGGAGAGGGCCTCCCTTGCTTTCTCTAGCCTTTGTCTTGACTGAAATATACCCAGATTCCCAATTCTGATACCCACAACCATTTGCTTTGAGCAATAACAAGTCCCGGCTCTCTCCTGCCTGTATTTTCCTTCCCACATTTTTACAAATACTTAACTGGAAAAAATAAAAGTAGATCTAGGAAATCAGCAGTACAGCAACAGGTTCCTCAGTAAAAGGTTTTGACTTTGGGTGCGTAATTGCCACACCCTTAATAGCACCATAATAGCTGTAGCTTCCACTGGCATCAAGCAATAAAGATTTCAAACAGAGTCAAAGGTCATGCCAGAATTACCCACCCTAGATGAATCACCATTTACCCAGTTCACGTGTCCCATACACTTGAGCCCACCACCTGCGTGATCCATTAAGACCTAGATTTACAGCTGATGAACAATACCTACTGATCACCTGTCAGGTTACAGGAACCACAGGCAACTGGAGATCACAGGTAAGTGCACCAACAAGTGCTGTCGAGGTGTTTAGTAGAATGGAGAACATTGACAAGAGCTAATTACATTATAGGAAAAACTAGTGCTATGTGGAAGGTGAGGGAGGGAGGGCCCTCCAGTGTACCTTGGAGCATCAAGGAAAAGCTTCTATGGCCAGAGACCTTTAGGGGAAACCTGAAGAATGAGTTGGAGGTGGCTACGGAGCAGGTGCCGTGAGAGGCCTCCCAGAGCTCCTGGAAGAGGCTAATAAGCAAGCAGGGACTCTCCTGGAAACTGAAAGCAGACAAGTATGGCTGGAAGTTGAGAGCCCGAAGAGAGAAGAGGAAGCAGGGGCCAGAGACCCTGAAGGGCTGTGTAGCCTTCAAAGTCTCAGAACTTAGTGGGGGGTTTGTTTTGGTTTTTTTTTTTTAGAGCAACATCCCTTGCCTGGTACAATATACCAACAGGTCTAAATGACAATTTTATGAAATGGCACCTTGCCACTCACTAAACATTAATGCCACAATGCACATTTCTGAGAAGGCTCAGAGGAGAAAAAAAGGTTCTAGCTGGCAACATTAGCCCTCACTAGTACTCTGTCCACCTGCCTCTCAGCATTATTTCTAGAATTTTCCTGCAAATAACAGAAAACTGTGCCTGTCCAGACTCTATTGGACAGGGATGAACTCTGGAAATAGGATAAAGACACACCAAGACAACAGGGTGGGGTACCCCAAAAAATTAAACAATGAAACTAAGCAAAAAGTTGAAGGAAACGAAACAGTAAAAAGCAAATTTAGAAAACTCAAGAGGAAGTAAAAGTATTCTCATACACACAAAAAAAAGAAGTGTGCCACATGCTCAGTCAACCAAACTCTTCCTTTTATTTAACTGTTAAAAAAGCAAGAACTGTGAAAAAAAAAATCACACTTCCATGAAGTCATGCTAGAACAAACAGCAAATCGGTACCGCACAGCTCACCACCCTGAAGACCTTGACCTGTCTGCTCCAGATAATACACCACATGACGATCACCTGGAGCAGCTCGCAACCCCGCAAATCACTCCCCTCCCGACAGCCTGGTCCTCTCCAAACTCTGGCCTATTCTGTCATTTCATAATCAATAAAGTTTTCTGTCAAGCGTGAAAATGGCAAAGAAACTCAGAGAAGGCTGTTTTCCCAAATCCAAAGGGAGCAAGGCTCTTCTTAAAACAAGTTGTTTTTCTTCCTTCGCCACAAGGCGTCTCCACAATCCTTTCCTCCCAATTCCAAATTTCTAAATGTCAGGAACTCGCCGCGGTCCGGGGACAGCCCCGCTTGCGAGCGAGCACCACCTCCACCTTCCCTCCGGCGTCCGGCCCTCGCGGGGCCGCCCCGGCGGGTGTTCCCGGCCCCGCTCCGCCGCCGCCCGCGGGCGCTCGCCCTGAGGGGCTGCCCCCGCGGGGCCCCCGGGAAGGGCGCGAAGGCCGCCCCCGCCCCCCCCACCCCCGCCAGCGCCCCGCGCAGCCTCGGGCGCCAGATGCCGGAGTTCGAGTCCAGGGCGCAGCGCGGCCCGGCCGGGTCCGGGGGCGGAAGGGTCGGGCGCGTCCAGGGCCCGGAGGACGATGCCGGACGCGGCTGAGGCTGCGCGGAGGGAGGCGCGGCCCGGCCGGCGGGTCTCCAGACCCCGGGCCCGGCGGGATCCGCGGGGCCCGGGAGGCGCGTCCCGCCCCCGCCCCGCCCGCCCGCCCGCCGCACTCGCCTGCCCACGGTCTGGTTGGCCAGCTGCTTCATGCGGTTGAACTGCTTCTTCATGGCGGCGGCGGCGCCCGCGGGCTCGGGCCGGGCGGACGGGCTCGGCCTGGCGGCTCCTACATCGCCTCCCGGCCCAGGCGGCGGCGGCTCCCGGGCGGCGGCTCCGCCCTCGCCGCGTCACTTCCAGCGGCGCCGCCCCGCGCCCCGCCGCCCCGAGCTAAGGCGCCGCCCGCGGGCGCCGTCGGGGAGACCCGGCCCGGCGCGCCCCTCGGGGCCGGGGCCTGCGCGCCTCGGGCGGGGCTGACCGGTCCCCGCTGCAGCCCGGCTGGCTCCCGGCGGGGCTCGCGCGCTCGCGGCCGCAGCGGACACAAAGGGCCGGGGGCGCCGGCGCGGGCGGGGAGGGGAGGCCCTGTCGGGCCCGGGGTGCCGGGAATCTTTGGAGGATGAAGGCTCCAGGCGTCCTGGGGGGCGTGTGCGTTTTACCCCAACCCCCCAAAAAAGTTGCGTGAAAACCCCCAGTTGCAGACCGGGTGTTGCGGGCGCCGGCACTGGCTGCAAGACTCACAGGCGGGCGCCTGTTCATCACCCGCGCCCCAAGGCTTCCAGGTCAGGGTGTGTTGCGGGAGGCCGCCGTCGAGGGGGCAGGGGTCGGGCGGCACCTGGGAAAGTCCCAGAAGCTACGGGAGAAGAGGCCCAAGTTAGGGCATGGTGGGGTTGAGCCAAGCCGCCTCCAACACCCCCCACTTTCCTGCCCCGCACCCCCCCTCCCGCCCCCTGCGTCCTTTGTTACGTTCCAGCCAGACCTCAGCGTTTCCAGGCCGCCTGGCATTGTTCCCTCAGCAGCGCCATACTGCTTCGCCCTGTGCTTGCAGCCCTTCGGGGACGTTCGGCCGGGTAGTCCGACTGTGCCCGCGGGATTTTCGTTGAGATCTTCAGGTCAGTTCAGTCACCCGCAGTGTTTGATAGAGTTGCACCTAGTTTGGGAGCCTCAGCTCCCACGATCACCATTACCCCGGCAACTGGGTAATAGTGTACTAATCTTCACTGTATCCATCTTGAACGTAGCAAATGATGTGCTGAAAGGCACAGGTAGATTGGAGAAAACTAATTTCATCAGAAAGGAGATCAAAGTCATTCAGGCATCGCGAAGATTAGAAAAACGAGAGACCTAAAAAAATTCTCTATAGTGATATGGAAGAGTAAAACATCAGACCTTCTCACACACTGTTGAAATTTAACTACAACAGACACCCAACACTTCAAGTAAGACAGCACAGCTAGAAGAGCAATTAATTGCAGAAGCTGTAGCTACTCCAAGTCAATTCTGGAGATCGCCTTGCATTGAAGTTAGTCCAAAGTGAATTGCATGTTAATTGTTTGGATTTAACCATGCAGAATCTTGAGGATGAAACTGATACTTTAGAACATCAGTTAAATCAGCCACAAAAATGGAATGTAGACATTCAGCAAGATCTTAACCATAAAGAACATAGTAAACAAAATGAAGAACTTTGTGAAGCCAGGAATGACTTAAGTTACTCTCTTAATCAAAATACTAATAATAATCATTTTGAGGATGACATACTTAAAGAAAGGGAAGCTGAAGATAGAAACTTAAAGCAAATAATTTCAAAACTGGAACAACTAAGTAACAGTTCACAAGCTGTTTTGGCTTTCAAAATGAAATACGAAAAGTTGGTTTCGGCATATGAAGATGTGAGACTTATGTTGGAAAAGGAGATTGTTTGGAACCATCAGGATTCTTTGGGGAAAAGTACCATTGTGGGACTTTTCCAGATGAAAAAAGCACAATGGGAGACCAATCTGCGAGAAGCTGAAAAGGGGCTGTCAGAAGTTGTGAAAATAAGTGAGCAAACCATTCAAGAATTGTCATGTAACTGTAACTTGGATAGCTTTCCCTTATGGCAGGAGCAGGAAGGTTTAATTAGAATCATTCGAGAAAAAGACTTGGAAATAGCAGAACTCAAAAAGAATATGGAGAGGATAGAAGCCAATCAGAAAACAACTAAGGCCATTTTGTCATCTCACTTAGAAGAGTGGCAGCAACTGGTACCACTTATTAAAGACATCAGTACATCACTGAAAGACAAAGAGACTCTGAAAGAAGAACTGGAGCAACGGGAGGGACAGAGTCCAGTTGCACCTGTGGTTGAACCCAAAATACCAGACACGATGACAGAACTCCAATCTGAGATACATCAACTGAACATAAGCAAGGACAATAATCTTGAAGAAGACATCAATCCTCATCCAAAGATAACTGAGGACCAAAGCCAGAAAATTATGCAACTACTTCCACCTTTACGAGAGCAGGAGGAGGAAATGGATGATCTCACATACCAATGTGAGCAAATGAATATGGCAAATATTCAGTTCATTTTAGCCAGTAATAAGGAAATTAAGAATTTGAGGAAAACTCCAGAACAAGTAAAAACATATTCTCCTAAAGAAAACCAGGACATTCAAACAGAAAATTCTGTTAATCTGGAAAATGGAAGTGAAGACGATTTCTCGCAAACCAAACCTGAAAGATTAATCAAAAAGCTTGAGATAGAAGAGCTCACTGGCCAGACTACCGCCGACATGGATCAACTATCCAAAGACGAGATTGATAGACCAACTGAAATGATTGAGCAGAAATACTTGGAAACTCAAGATCTTTACAGTAAAATATCTTCCATTTCCCATAGGCAGGATGTTGGGGATCTGCAGCAGCAACAAGCTTATGGTTTGGTAAGGGAACAACAAGTACTGGCTGAGAAGACTCGGGAAAATAACAATCTCCAAGGAGATTATCACAAAATGATGGCTATCAGTATTGCAAAAGAAGCAGACAACTTAAGAATTCCAGATGAAGATAATAAACTGTCCCCTGGACTTGAAAGTCATTTTCAAGACCTAGATGAGGAAGCTGTGAGCAACCTATTAGACATAGACGAAGAAAAGGACATGGAGATCGATGCATTAAGTCAGAAATGTCAAGCATCACTGACACTTTTTCAAATATCCAGCACTGGGAATAAGGTTGTTGGTGTCGATTCTAATCAGTTGGAGGCACTTCTACAGGAACATCATCAATTAAAGCAGCAAGTTAGGATACTGAAAGAGTGGAAACAGCAAGTAATGATTCTGGTGAAAAATATGCACAGCGACTCAGCTCACCGTGAAGAAAAACTGCTGCAGCTTCAGATGCAAATCTTGGCTTATAGAGACAATAATTCTAAACTACTGATGAACTATGTTGACCTGTTACAATATTGTAAAGGGGATGAAATGAAATTTAAGAGTATGGAGCAGGAGTTAACACAAATCCAACTGGCTATAGGGCAGCTTTGCAATGTCAAGGATCTTTTGTTAGTTAAAATTGACCTCCTTATGACACAGCCCTTGACTGAATCTCCACTTATAGAAGAGTCTGAGGACTGTCTTATGGCCAGTCCCGCTGCTGCCTTGAATAAGTCTTCTAAATTGCTTCAAGAGGAAGTGGAAGACTTAAGAAAATTAATGCAGGAAAAAGATGCAACCATTCGAATGCTCCAGGTAGAGCACCAGAAATTGTCTGACTCCATCGCTGCCGCCTCAGAACTGGAGAGAAAACAACATGAGCAAACCAATTCAGAAATGAAGCAGCTGAAGGAGAAACAAGATGTTTTACAAAACTTACTTCAGGAAAAAGAGCTCCTCATTAAAGCCAAAAGTAATGAGTTACTTTCTGTTAGAGAAAATTTGATTAGCCAAGTGGATGAAAATGAAATTTTAAGGCAGGCAGTTATAAACCTGAAGGAGAGGGTATTACATTTTGAAATAGAGTCATGTAAACTAAAACAGGAAAATGAAAAAATAATAGAAACATCTCAGGAAAAGGCGGGAGAAATGCAAGCACTTCAAGAAACAAATGTGAAACTTTCGCAGCTCCTGAAAGAGCAAGAATTGAAGTACCTTCCAGTGAAGAAGGTTTTGGAGCAACTATCGAACGAAGAAGAACAGGGGAAGACTAGGAAACTAAATCAGCTTTTAAACACAATCACTTTGATGCAAGAAAAGACGGTTTTATTTCAACAGGAAAGAAATGAGCTGACAGTAGCTCTGAAAAACAAACAAATGGACATTGAGGCTCTACAGAATGAGATTCGGTATCTATGCAACAAAGAATTGCACTTAAAGCAGGAGCTAGAGAATACTCAGAAGCAAGTTGTGGAATTGCAAAACTCTCTCTTCTGTAAAGCTCGGGATGCAGATGACAAAGAGCTTAACTTAAGAATGAAGATCATGGAACTGAAGGGAAAGCTAAGTTCATCTTGCACTGCCACAGAAAGTGCAAGCCATCAAGCCAAGATACTGCAGGACCAACTGAATATCGTCAACAAGCAGAAAGATGAAACTGCCGCCCAGCTCAGCGCCTGGCAGGAACAAGAAAATCGGGCCTTAGCTGACACAAAGGTGGCCCTCGCTGAATCAATGGAAAAGACAGTCCATCTAGAAGAAAAAGCAGCATCATTACAGGGGCAACTAGATCGAGCTAATGCTGCTGTGGAGCTGACGGTAGGACAAATTGAAGACCTTAAAAAACAAAATGACGTCCTACAGGAAATGTTGGATGCTGTACAAAAAAAATGGATGGATTTGGTAACCATATCCGAAAGGAATATAGACAAGAGCCTAATGAGAAAGCTCTTTTTGGATTATTTCCAAACACAGAAAGATGAGCGGCAGCAAGTATTACAATTAATCGGAAGCACTCTGGATATCAAAAAGGAAGAAATGGAGTCGTTGATGAGAGAAGATCCAGTTGGCATTAAAAGATGGATGACTGAGCAGCCTGGGTCACAAAATGACCCCAACCCCCCTCGCAAACCAAATGAGTCATCTACGCAGAAGAATTCTTTTTCAGAACTTTTTGTTCACTTTCTAAAAGCAGAAACGTCTGAGCCTTTGGCAGCACCGAAAAGACCTGCTCATGGTGACAAGACTCCCCAGGCAGCAGGAAAGAAAACAGTGAAAAAGGGGCCACCAAGTCTAAAAACTGCCGTGGGTTCCACACCCAAGGAAACAGATGGTTTAGCAATCGTATCCCTTGTTAGCCCACCAGGGCATGAAGCTGGTGGGTCTGGAAATCTTTTACATAATGTTGCTAATGCCTTCCCCATCTACACACATTTGTTGGTGTCACCTAGCAAGAATACCCCAGCTGCCCTGAAAGACTTTGCAAAGCAGTAGAAGATTCTCCAGTTAGAAGAGAGAGCCTTTTAAAGAAACCAAGTCTCAATATGCATGTAAAAATAAGTTTTTGGAAAATGTTACACATATTTGCAGTTTTACTTTGTTTTATAACAATATTCCCAAAGCTTAAGAAAAGTTTTTATGAGCCACAAATATTTTCACTCAATTTAAAGCAAATTGAGGGTGGTTACTTCTGACCAGCGTAGGCATTGGTGGGATGGGAGCTGTGGTCAAAAGATACTGCAAATATTGTTTGTGCTGCTGTAATTTTTTACAAAGAGCAGATATTTGTGCATACCTTGGGTAATGAGAACAACAACTTGTGTTAATATTCAAAAATTATAAAATATACAAGCTCCCCCCCACTTTTGTGTAAGAAATGAGAGGAACTGCATAAAAGTACAGGGTGCATGTCATTTTAGAAATGGACACTTGCATGGCCTGGCTCCTGTTCCCATTGCCTGGGAAACCTCTCTATTGTTAACCTGTATTTGCTCCAAACTTCCATCCCCCCTTTCATTTTTTAAATAATCAAATAACACAAAACAACATCATCCTGTTAATGCCGAGGTACCCAGCTGATCCTCTAGCTCCCAAACCCTCTCCTCTGTTCTCTCTCCCCTACCCCTGCCCAAAGACAAGACAGAATCTTGGGAGGAGGCTGAGACAGAGCTGGAGGAAGGAAGAGATTGCACTGGACAAGAAACTATTGTTGGGGTTGGGGTGGAAATTAGGAGTGGTTGATTCTTAAGACCCATTTTAGCACTAAATATATAGCCCTATTCCCAACCCTGTTCTTCAAATCATTGCCCATAGCTCAGGTCCTCTCTGCCCTCCCCCAACCACACTCCCAAATGACTTGACCTTTATCCTGCCGTATCTAGCCTGGTCCCAGCCATCCCTCAGTGTCCCTCATGCAGGGACTCTTGGACACATTAGCTCCAGGCCACGAAGAGCCTGACCCTTGCAGAGACAAGGCAGTGCGGACTGGGGACTGGTGTGGTGGTTGTGCATGGGATATGCCTCTTGAAAGCTTTAGGGATGAGAGCACACAGCTATAACAAAGGAAGCCCAGGAGACAAGTCACTACCTCTGCCTAAACAAGACCAGGAGGCAGCCATTGAGCCATTCTTCAATCTTCCTGGGGTAGCAGTCTCCTTCCTTGACTGTGCTGGGGCTGCATGTTCCCCAAAAGTCTGTATGACTGTCTGTAGGGTAAATGGATGAGTCAGGCTTTTTGCACCACTGGCCTCTGTGGTGTTAATGCAGAAGGCACTTGGGAGCATGGGTACTGGGCATGCATATCTGATTTTGGACACCTGTAGCATGGGTGTGCATGCATGAGTAAGTGTGCACACCTGCACCTAGAGGTCAGGGATGTAAGGGAGACGACAGAGACGTGCAACGGCTAGGGGATGACAGCTACAAGAGGAGTGACTACAGAAGAGGTGAGACCATGAGAGAAAGCCAGAGGCCAGAGAAAGGGTAAAGATTCACTGGGGGCTAGGAGACTTGCTGGACTCCTGGTCTCCCAGACCCCCTGGAATCTGGTTGCCCCACAGCACTGTCCCAAGCAGTCCCTGATGGTCATCAGGTAGACACAATGACCAAAGAGCACCAGCCAGCATCCAGTGAGTGGAACTCAGCACCCACCCTTTAGAATGCTGTGTTGTGCGACCTCTGTGACCACCTGCTGCAGGTGACATATAAGGGTACTTCCCTTGGGGAAATAGTTAATGAACAATGTTTCTCACCTGTTGGTATGAATGTGCCACTAGGCTGGGAAGAGATGGCAGACCCATCTGAGAGAAGTTGAACGAAAGCACAAGCTGGTCAGCAATTTGGCAGTTACATCCCAGAAAGGGGAATTAGAGAAAGCTGACCAGGTGTCCTCAGTTGAGGTTGGGCCATCTTGTTTGCAAGACCAATTATTTTCTTCACCTCTTCTACACTCCATTAGTGAGAGTCCTGGCCCAGACTTACGTGAATGGTGGAACACAGGATATGCCACACCAGCCAGGGGGGGACCCACAGCAGTTTATTTACCACATACACTCACAGCCCAGGGGAGAAGGATCTCACACACCATGTTGGGCCTCAGGAAATGCACTTAGGAATAGAGGGATGAAGCAGGGGCTTGGGAGGCAGATTTTGTAGTAAAGAGGCCAAAGTGAGCCCTGGCTCCTGCAGGAAGGTATTGTAGGGTAAGGTAAAAAAGCATCAGGCTTTTCTGCTCTCCTGCCATTAGGATTGATGACGGATCCTTGCAGTCCTGAATGCATATCCTACTCCACACCTGGAGTAGGGTGTGGGCATATGTAAACGGGATTCACCTGGGCTAAGACTGGGCTTATAAGGTCGGTGTCACGGGACACCAGAAGAACCATGAGAAGCAGCAGAAGCAGAACCATAAGAAGAATGAACCAGAGGAGCAGAGGACAAGGCCACCAGAGAACGCCGGAGAGCCCAGAAAGAGTGAAGACTTGCTGGGGGTTGGGAGGCTCGCCAGCCATGTGCCTGGTAAATCCCAATAAAAGCCTGCAAAAGCCACTGAGGGCTCTAGGACTCTCTCCTCCTTTACCCCATCTGCTCAAATCATAGAAAACCTGCCCTGTGCCCATTCCTGCCCCTACAGTGTGGTTGGCTTGTTTGAGTAAGGTCTTAGGCTGATCGGGAACTGAAGCCTGTCACTCAGGAATGAGTAGGCACCGTTAGGACCCTGTGATCAGGATTGTTTGGCTAGGAGCCCTTATCTGTAGGGGAGGGGAATGGGGAGCTTGCAGGGAAGCCATTTGAGACCTCCTTGGTTTTGCCAGCTGTCAAGTCAGCTCCTAACGCTAAATCAGCATTTCAGGGCTTATACCACAAGACATTGTTAAAAGGCAGTTTGTCCTAAAATGAATAGTTGAATTTAACGTCACCAGATAGAAAATAAAAATCATTTCTATTTTTATATACTAGCAACGACATGTGGAGAACAAAACTTAAAAATATATTTACTATCATTAACACAAACTAAATACTGGGGTGTAATTTTAACAAACAAGTCCAGGACCTGTAAGCTGAACACTACACAACACTGAGCAGAGAAACCCAAGATCCAAGTTAATGAAGATGCATAAGATGTTCATGCATTGGAAGACTATACATAGTAAAGACGTCAATTCAAATTGACAGAGATTTAATGTAATTCCTATAAAATCCAGCAAGATTTTTTGCAGACATTGATAAAATTGTTCTAAAATTTATATGGAATGACAAAATTATAATAGCCAAAACAATTGAAGAAAGAATTAAGTGGGAGCAAAAAAGGAATAAACAGTCCCAACACTTACTGTATAGTAACCAAGACTCCAGTATTTGCAGAGAGATAACACAACACAAAGAACACCAGAAATTGTCTGTAGGGTCAGGAACAGGCACTGAGCAGGTTTTCTAGGATCCCATGCAGACCGGGTAAAGGAGGAGTCAGAGTCCTTAATGGCTTTTGCAGGTCTTTTATTTAGGTTTACCAGGCATATTGCAGGCAGGGGTGCTGGGGGGCCGGGAGGCAGCAGTTCTCCCAGCCCCCAGCAAATCCTCACTCTATCTGGGCTCTCCGGCGTTCTACTTCTCTCTCTCGGCTTCTCTTTTGGCTTCTGCTGGTGTCCCAGTGACGCCGCCCTTAAAAAAGCACAGTCTCAGCCCAGGTGAATCCAATCTACCTATGCCCACACCCTATTCCAGGTGCCCGCCATCAGGCCTGCATTCAGGACCGCAAGGATCCATCTATCCTGATGGCGGGAGGGCAGAAAAGCCTGGCATTTTTCCTTACCCTACATTGTCCTAACAACTATGTCCAAGAGATTCTGACAAAGGTGCAAATGCATTTCAGTGGAGGAAAGGTTGCCTTTTTAACTGATTATTGCGATTTAAAATTTATGAAGAAATCACAGGCCAGAACACTTGGAAAACAGGACCAGCAAGAAGAGAGAATGGTTTGACTGAGGTACTACCAGGTGATGAAGGGGAAGGAAGGGACGGATAGTGTGCAGCCCAGGATGAAAACTGCAAACACTGGACAACAGCTAACAGCTTCTTTCATCTTTCTGAATGCAATAGCTTCTGATTGTTCAGCTCCTCAGTCTCTAGTGGTTTTCCCATCAGCTCCTCCATGACAAACTCAGCTCACCCTAACTGAGCATAAATGCTCCAGACTCCATCAGCATTTTGATTGGCTTCAATCTCAAGCTATACAAATAGCAAGGTGGCTCTCAGTAGCTGTAAAGGTACATCCTCCCATATGAAAGTCTGGCAGAAAAGAGAGTTGTTTTATATTTAGCACCTCTCATTCAATTCCTCAGATTCATTCTCATTGGACTAAGCTGATCACACCCTCCTACTTCTTTATACTCCTGAAGTATAGCTAGAGAAATTCTGTGAGTGGCTAAGCTTTAGTAAATTTCCACCCTAATGTCATGCATAGAGCCTCACCTGATCCACACGAGCTAAGAGTTTAGTTCTCCATAATAAACTCCAGCTTTTACAGGAGAAACAGACACTGGCTAGCCATAGCAATAAATGCTTATACTGAAGCTTCTCAGGAAGAAGTTTCATGGTTAATACCAGTTTTGCTCCCAATATATATTTTTAAAAGATTTATTTATGCATACAAGAACTGGGGTGTAGGCCAGAGGCGTGGGGGGTGAGAGATTCACCAGAGACAGTGAGGAGCAGAACAGGTGGATCAACTGAAATACACTGATGAGGGGAGCAGCAGGTGATGATACAAGAGAGGTCTGCTATGCCATGTGGATGTTATCTCCCTGGCAGGGGATCGAACTCATGTTGCAGTGGCTGGCAATAGCTTGATAGCGCTGTGTCTTTAACCCCTGTGCCACCAGGGAGGCCCTTGCTCCTAATATTAATGTTTGCAGAGGTTTTACGCTCTAGTTTCTCTTTTGTCAGAGAAGGCAAATTAACTGACTGTGACCTTTATAGGCTGGGACATTGTTCACAACTACCCTAGTGTAGTCATACAGCCTTAGATGACTAAGCTTAACATTTCCAGACTCCACTCCCATGTCATAAATTTCCAGTCCCTTGACCAGGAGCTTCAATGCAATGAGCTGGCCCTGCCTGCAGAAAGTCTTTGGAGTGGACTTCAGTGAAAAAGCTGACCAAAGTTCTCTGAATCACCAGCTTTTCCTTTTTTTTTTTTTTAAGATTTATTTATTTGTGCACACAAGAGCAGAGGTACAGGCCAGAGATGGAGGTGGTGGGGGTGGTGAGAGGATTCACCAGAGACAGAGTGGGGAACAGATTGACTGAAATACACCGCTGAGGGGAGAAGCAGGTGAGACAGGAGAGGTCTGCTGCACCATGTGGCTTAGCTCCCTGGCCAGCCGGGATTGAACTTGTGCCGAGCTGCAATGCCTGCAGAT